TAATAGGTGTAGTAGGACACAAAAAGGGATCTTCTTTTCAAGCAGTAGTTTACTTGTCAAAACAGTTAGATCACACAGTAAAAGGATGGGCTCTTTGACTCTGAGCTCTTGCAGCTGCAGCCCTCCTGACACAGGAAGCTAAAAAGTTTACATTAGGACAATCTATTACAGTCCACTCACCTCATCACCTATGTGACCTTATCTCACATAAGGTGCTCCCTGTCCTAATGACCCCTTCTTGCCTTCAACAGGTACACTTAGCTCTCTCTCAAGACCCTTGCATCTCTATTGCAACTAGTGGTCCTCTTAACATAGCCACCTTACTTCCCACCTCAGAGGGCCATCCTCACCATGACTGTATAGAGGTTTTACAGATGACTCCTGCCCCTTTCCCTCACATCAGTAGCACACCCCTCTCCTTGGCCTTTGACACATGGTTCATAGATGGCAGTTCAACAAACACAGACAACCAAAAGAAGTCAGGATACGCAATAGATAACCAGTCAAAAGTTATAGAGGCAAATCCACTGCCACCTGGAACCTCTTCCCAGAGGGCAGAACTTATTGCCCTTACAAGGGCCCTTACACTAGCAAAAGATAAGATTATAAATATATACACTGACTCAAAGTATACATTTAGCATTTTACACTCTCATGCCTCTATCTGGCAAGAACGGGGTTTTATTTCCACTCAGGGAATCCCCATCATTAATGCTCCCTTATCCTTAAACTTCTAGAGGCAGCCCAACTTCCAAAGCAGGCAGCAGTTATTCACTGCAAAGGACACCAAAACTCTACAGATCCTATTGCTCAAGGCAGTGCCTTTGCAGATACACAAGCCAAGTTAGCTGCACAAGGGCCCTGCCCTTCTTATCTTCTCCCATTAGTCCCCAACAGTCTACCTCAGCCCAAATATTCACCAGAGCAGTTACAGCTACTTCATAAACCAGGTTACACACAAAACACTCAGGGATGGATTTTTCAGGGACCGAAACTTGTTCTCCCACATCAACAGGCCTCAGACATCATCACTGATTTACACAACTGTTTTCATATAGGATCACAGGCTCTATATAAACTCTTAGCCCCAATAGTCACACACCCTTCTCTAACAGCTATCATTAAGATTACTCACACCTGTGATCTCTGTGCCAGGCCCTCTCCTCAGGGACGCATGGCACTCCCTTCCTTTCTTACCCATCAATTTCGGGGCACACCCCTTGTCAGGACTGGCAGATAGATTTTACACACATGCCCTGCCACAAGACTCTCAAATATCTTCTCACCTTTGTTTGTACCTTTTCAGGATGGATAGAAGCCTTTCCCACAACCAGGGAAACTGCTGATGTAGTTACCAAAATCATCTTACAAGAAATCATTCCAAGGTTTGGTCTACCTCAGAGTATTCAGTCAGATAATGGTCCCACCTTTATTTCTCAGATCACTCAACAGGTATCCTCGAGCTTACACATCACCTGGCACCTACACATCCCATACCATCCACAATCCTCAGGAAAAGTAGAAAAGGCAAATGGCCTCATAAAGACACACCTTACAAAACTCACTTTAGAACTACACCAACCTTGGCCTCAACTTTTGCCCTTAGCCTTAGCCAAGCTCAGGGCACTTCCCTGGGCTCCTACTTTCTTAAATCCTTTTGAACTTATGTATAGTAGACCATTCTTACTCCACAATCTTCCTGCACCCCTCCCTGGCTGACTATATCCCAGTCCTCTCCTTCCTCTGACACCTGTTGCGACAACATGCTGATCTCTGCCTTCCACAACCCTCTGGAGAGGCCAAACCAGATCCTCCCATATCCCCAGGAGATCTAATTTATCTCAAATGTTCTAAATTCACAGGACTACAACCAAGGTGGAGTGGCCCTTACCTGGTCTACTTGGCTACCCCTACAGTGGTCAAAGTTGCTGGACTCCCATCCTGGTTTCACATCACTCAGGCTAAGAGGCGCCCTCCCAGCCCTAAATCTGATCCTTCTGAGGGTCATCTCATCTTCTGTCACCCACCTGTCTTCATTTCACTAAGGTCTCACAGCCACAGTTAACAGGCTAAGTCATGTTTTGTTATCCAATTTGGTTCCTAATCTCTTACATTCTATTAATGATCATTTTTACAGCAGGACTCTTGACAGTCTTTCCTAGAGACTCCCACATCATGTGTAAGATCATCTTCATAATGTTCTATGTGATAACTGTCGTGGTTCTTTCTACCCTCAGCTGTCTGGTTAAACATGACATCCCTGAAAGCCTAAGCCCTTACCTTCCCTATACTGGTACAGCCACCATCTCCTCTACTCGCCCTATTTTTTCCAGCTCAACTCCTGGACCGGAGACAAGTTTTACACACCTATCCTCCTAACTTTTATGCTTTCAGATGGAGGAGTAATCACCTCTCATAATCTCACTCCTTCTAACCTCACACTTATTTTTCAGAATTCTCCCTCACCACGATAATGATCCTACTTCAGTGTCATCCTGATAGAATAACATGTCTAAATCAAAGGCACCTTTCTCTCTACCTCACCTAGGTCCTTAAATATGACAGTGCCATGTCTCCTCATAACATCATATCTCTTTGTTTTTCCAGTCTGACATAGGTGCATTCACCAGTGAAGTTGTCCTGGCTAAAACACCTGGCGTCAGCGTCTACCTGGGCATCAAGTGTCATCCCGTCGACTCCCCGAGGCTCCAGTACATTGCCCCTTGCCAGCAGGAAGTAGTTAAAGAGAAATCTTTGCCCCTTTTCATAATAATCATAAGATGGGATATGAAAGGGTTGTTGGCCCAGACCAGGAAACTGTAGCCAGAAAAGACCTCAGCCAGAATCAGAGAGCTCCTGTCTCCCCCGCCCCTAGAGATTTACCTGTAACTCTATATCCCCCACCCTTCAGAATCTGCCCCTGGTGCCAAACGTGTGCCAATGAAATACCTGTGCATCTCTAATGGCCTTAGGGCACTGCTCTAAGCTTAGGCTACTTATATTCTCCCACACCACTTGGCCACGAGAGAGATCACCAGACTTCAGCGGCCAGGGTGCCAGTCATTTCTCTCCGTGTTCTCAGAATAAAGGTCTCTTTTTGTTTTATACTTCTCATCTTTTGGAAATAATCCTATCAAATAGTATAAAATAATGCTATAAACTATGCGTCCTGTGTTAAATCTCTTCCCTTGTAAACCCCACATCAGGTTCTTAGGCTGTTTCTATAGCTGAACTATCTTGAATAGACACAGGTTTGTAGCTATCTTTGTAGCACCCTGGCTTTAACTGTTTCAGGAATACACTGAAGTGTAGTATAATTGAGTCAAATGGGTTCACTAAACTAGACATTAAGAAAGTTTGAACTACTTGAAGTTAGAAGTAGCATATATGGATGAGACAATCGCTAGTGTAACTATTAGGGAGAAGAAAGAAAAGAGGGGAAATTAATAAATGGTTTTCATTTGTGTTTAGTTCATTAGCTTGGATTAATGATAGTTTTGCTTATAAAGAATATAAAAAGAATATAATTTAGAAAGAAGACAACATATTCAACTTGAGATAAAATTCTCAGTGTGAATTAAGAGTTGGAAAGTTACATCGTCTACTTAATTTTGTTATAAATACAGATTTGGCCATGAAAAATCATAGCTGGATAATATTATCAAAGAAAAAGCATATGGAGTAATAAAATAGAGACAAAAAAATGGTTCCTAGTAGCACAACAGAGAGAAAAGTAAGTTTAAGTGAACATGAAGGAGGAATTGCTAAATATGTAAGAAGAGAATAAAGACAGTATAAGCCAGTATAAGTCAAAGACTAGATACATGGTCAAAAATCAAAATTTTGCTGACAGCCGGTACAGTGGTGCATGTCTACAATCTTAGCATTTGAGAAGCGAATGCAGGATTACCGTGGTTTGAGGCTAGTTTGAGTACATATCAAGACCCTGTCTCAAAAAAAAAAAAAAAAATCATCTCTTTTCTAAATCTGAAAAAAAAAAAAACACTAATAGTCAACAGTAAGCATGCATTTCAGCATGAGTTTCAGTAAGTTATGCTACATTCACTGCCTTTTCTGGAATTTCTTTTAGAACTGCTGATTTTCAAAATGACTATATTGCTCTAATCTACAGAAAGGAAATGAAACTGAAAAGAGTTAAACACTCACAGTTTACTATTAGAAAAAAGCATGGCAAAACTGGTCATGCAATAATATTATAGTTACATTTCATTTGTTTTTCTCTATGAATCAAGAATTAAAATATATTTAACACAGAGAATGAGAATGCTCTGAACTGCCTAAGTGGTAACATGCCATTGTGCTGCATGTGGAATACTCAAAAGTATTCCAAGTCCTGGAAAATATATAAATCCACCTTAGTAATCAAACACAAGATTTGGTCCCATTTGTTCTCAATACATCCTAAGAGCTTCTTGACCTACAAGTAAACTCCTAATAACCATCAGTTTCTTAATAGGTTGCTAATACCACTGACTGACACAAAAAGCAAATAAAACATAAGCAAATAAAAAATTCCTTGTGGTTCAAGGAACTGGTTCAACTCAAGAGCAGGGCACAGGATGTCACCCTAACCGGTTGACTATTTCAACCAGACATGATTTACTTAAAATGTGTCACATGCTAGACTACAGAGCACAGACATTATAAAGCAAATTCTGTTGTACTTCCATATGATTAGAAGGGAATAATAAAAGTAAAATTTATGTAATACATTCTAATTACCTAAGATGATCCTTAAAACTGACTTTTGGGTCTCCTAAGATCCCAAACAAGGTCTGAAATCTGAATGAATTTCATGAAAAGTAATCAAGGAGTCCACATTAAATACTGCTGATTTACAGTGTCTGCTTCCATTACCAGCAGTAACTAAAGAACTCATAAAGCTCAATCTTCTTCATAATTCAAATGCCAGGACTCTTCTGAGGTAGCCACACAGATTAAAAAATATATGAAAAGCAAAACCAAAAAAGAAAACTTACCTTTTGAAGATTCTCTAACTTTTTCTTTTCAACTTCAAATTTTTTCAGCCAGCAATTTCTCTTTTCCTCCTCTTTTTGAAATTGCTTTTCTTCTCTATCCCTCTGTGCTTTGAGAGTTTCTTGATCTTTGTCTTCTAGCTCTTTCTGCTTGTCTTGCCAAGCTTCAAAAGATTGTCTACATCTCTCTTCCACTTCAAAGTATCCAAAGTTTATATCCACATCATCTACATTCGTGAAGAGAAATAACAGTACTGCTTTAAAGATCAAATCAAAATTTATATAGTTTAAAATATAAAAGTAATTTTAAAATTAGTAAATAAAATCAACACACTACCAGAGTAATGTGACGAGGCTGAAAATTTGAGTTAGCATAAAGGACCTACAACTTGTGGTCAGCTGGGTAGAGAATACATTCCTACTATGCCCAGGTTCTGGGTTTGATGCCCAAGACTACAAAAACTGAAACCAAACCAAAACGAACAAAAAATAACAACAACAGCAAAACCTCAAAAGCAGACCAAATGAAAACAAATCAAAAAAAAGCAAAGTAAAAGTGATCATATGCAAAAAACAAAATGTATTCTTGAATATGCAAAATAATTTCATTGCACTCAATAAAAAAGCCAAATAATTTGACTTCAAGTAAAAATATAATGTGTATTTGTGTATGTTTACTTAAAGAATATTTAAGTGATATGGCTAAGAGATACTTAACAAATTCAGGATTAGTTTTATAGTACCACAGTCAACCAACCCTACATGTAGAAAAATGTTAAAAAATACTTGTTACTTTAAAAGATATAAGGCAAACTATGTAACCATGTAATGAAATTAAGTATAATGAAGAAAATACTTTTCAATTGTAATGCTTTTATAAATGTTAAAAAGAAACAAAAATGGAAAAAGTTTCTTCTAGATAATGATGACAAACCACGTAAAAAACATCAAACTATCAATGGGCACTTTAGTCCACCTGAGAAAGCATATTCATCCATGGGCAAATCGTGAGGTCCAGGCTCAGGAGGGGAACCAGGACTAGCACAGAGGGTTTCACTTCTCATAAAGTCTTCTTTTTCTATTTCTGATAATATCTAAGGAAATACAATAACACTAGTCAATAAAAAATAAAAATGATATTATTTACATATTAAATATATACACACACTGAGAATTGTACTTACTTCAAACTTCTCTCACAGTGTATTGATAACAATTTTCTTTGTGAGTAAAAATATTATAAACATGTACACAGACTGTACTTTACCATGTTAATGTTTTTCCAAAATTAAATCAACACATTGTTAGTCTGCAATATTGAGTATATCTGCTTGGTAATGATTTCAGAACGTTTTTACTAAAGATGATATTTTTCCTATCGCATTGCCCTTTCTTACCTATAGTAATTGCTCATAAAAATTTATATATTTAAAAAGATAATGGAGAACTAATCATTTTCTACTTAACTTGAATTACACAGAAGTCATCATTTTGATTGATAATTTTCCATAATTTTATTTCCATCACATTGTACTTGGAAAGATACAAGATATTTAATCCAGTGAAGCACTGGTTTGATAACTCAAAGTTAATATTTCAAATTGGAATGTTACCAAAATAAAAGTATAGGAGGTATGTATGTATTTCCAAATGATGTCAAACACCTTAAGGAAGAAGACTGAAGTTAGATAAAAGTGGTAAAATGTTAGGCAAAAATGCATCTAAGAAGTGAATTTGCAGATGAAACTCACATTCATTTGTGGGGTTTCAATATAGTAAAACATCTAGGATTTCTCTTTTACATTTAAACATTTTGCTTTTTAAAAACTAGCATAAAATTTTCTATATTTGTAGTTCTATAAAGCATTTAAAGTCTCAAATGGAATATAGTACATTCCTAGGAAGGATAAGAAACTGCAATATATTCATTATTTTCCATAGGAGCTTTAAGAAAAATATCACAGAATATAATTCTACTGCTTTATCTATATGAACACTAAATTGTGAAATATTAATAGCTCAAATAATCATCTTAATTTTCTTAGACTGAAATTTGTGTGGTTTTGTATGATATGCCAAAGGACACTGTAAAACCAAAAAATGTTCACCTTAAAATAATCACATTCTCTTACTTTTAAATTGATGAAAACAAAACCAGTGAATTATCATTTCATATAAGAAAGAAAAATAAATTACTAACTGGACTAGAAAGAACTTTTAGTCAAAGGTGGAACACATACCTTCAATAATTGCTCTGGATTTTCTTTACATGTAGTTAATAATTCTATCCCAAAGTGCATATGATTATTAGAAACTGCTCCATAACTACTTCCTAGGAAAAATAAAAAAAAAATTGTAATGTCAAATAGTAAAATCTCAACCTTTTCATAATCTTTGCATCTTGATTTCTATCATAGCACTTTACTGGTCAATAACAGTACTTAAAAGAAGAGAAAATAATGAAGAATAACAAACAGGAAATTTCTTATATTCTCTTTATTAAACAAAAGCAACAAATTTCTAAAGCACTATTTTTTATATTTTTGAATGAGATTTATTTTTATTTTCCATGCATATAGAATCATGCTTTACTTGAGATTGCATTGACTCCTTGGATTTGAAATCTTGATTTAAAATTAAAAATTTAATTCTATCCACAATAAAATAACAATATAATCTTTTACAAGTTAAGGAAAATACTTTAATATAAATAAAAACATTATAAATATTATAATGAACAAGGTGAAATTTTATTCTTTATATTTTGAGATTTTTAAAAATTATCCTTTTTATTATCTGCTAAGATTCTGTAGGATTCCTTTTCCTTTGTTCAATTAATGTGTATGTCATGGACTTGTTTCCTAATAAGAATAGGAAAATTCTGCTGGTTAATTAAAGTTTCATACCTAATATTTAGGTATCATTATTTTTTACGATACCTACTTAAAATCTTTCTGATATGCTTACCCTATGTGAGATTTAACCAAAAAGAATTCAGAATCCTTTTCAGCTAGTTTTCGTAGTAAGATTTGGATTCTGGACATACATATAGTTGCATAAGATAGAATTTTCAAAAAAAAAATATGTGTAAGGTGTAAGGCAGGTGATGATATGTTTTGTCATCTTTTTAGCCAAGATTATGAAACAAGAAGTTTTTAATTAAAGACAGGAATAGATAGAAGAAATTTACATCTAAGAATGCTTCAGCCCAGTTCTGTAATAGATGTGTTTTCTTTCTTTCTTTTCTATTTTGTCCTAATTTGAATATTCCACCTAGAGTCTGTATCTTCAGACTATTAAGAATCCTTTATTGAAGTGGCTACTCTCCAAAGATGGACCTCAAAAGATCCACATCTCCTAGTACACAAAATCTATGTTTCTTGCTACATAGAACTAAAGTGAATCCATGTAACTTTCAGGTTATGGTAGATAAGATTCTGTGTGATGCTGTCATAAGTCATATAAGGTTCCACCTTAGTCTCTTGGTATTTTATATTGCAACCTTCCATCATGGATTCCAAGTGCCATGCTCTGAGATGCACAAGTCAAAAGAAGAGGTCACATATAGGTGCCTTCAGCTGACAGCTGAATCTAATTCATCAGACAACAAGGAGTATTAACTGCAAGCCGCTTCAGAGAGGCATTTTGGAATTTCACCCTAGGCAAGACTTCAGATAACTGTAGACTTAACCAACATCCACCTACAAATGCATAAAGTATCAAGAGAAGAATTGCTCAGCTGAACACAGTCAATTCATGGAACCATAGATATAGCAATAAATTACCTTCCTTGACCACTAATGTTGTTTCACATCAATAAATAATCAGATATTTTCTCTACCCATAAAAACAAAAATTCTGCTGCTTATAGTTGGTAGAGTGACTCTCCTGTCTACAAGTAAGAGTCACAATTCATATACACTTATTCGTAAATGAAATTAGTTTCTAACCACTTTTGTGTGCATATCACACTTGTACAGTTTGTAATTAAAACAGGTTTTAAAAATAAATCATTAAACAATCTGTGAAACATTTTCCCTGATGAGTGGTAAAAACCCAACTGCAAAAATTTTTCGTAGTTTCATGAATAACCAGCTTGCACTGCACTGACAGACCCTGTCTCAAAAACATTATTCACTGATGCTATTAAATCTGGCTGGCTATGGCTGCACATTAAAACCTCTGTATCCCTGCTGTAAATGTTGCTACCTCTCCTCTCATGTAACTGGTTTTCCATAATGTGTTTCTTTTAGTTTTTTTCACAACTGATCTAGAACTAGGCTGTATAATTGCCTATGAATCCATAAAATATTTCCATTATATGCCCTTGATAAAAATAAACAAACCCATTAAAATCCTTCATACTTCAACTATACATTATTACTATCAATTTTGATGCACACTTAGAAAATCTTTACATGCCCTTTCAACAGGTACTCTGGACAGAATATTGGGGCCACTTTCTCTTTCTGTTATAATAATGCATCAGCATAACCTTTTTTGTATTGTAAATTGTTTCTAAAATCTAGTCATTTTTCTCAAATTTACTCAAACCACTCTCATCTGTAACCATACTATTGTAAGTCTTGTAGTAATCTGGTAACCTCAAGGTGTCTTCACACAGTCAATAAATGATTATCTCAAAAGATGGCAGAAATCTCCAATGCTTACTTAAAATTTCTCACGAGAATGGAATTCAAAGTCCCTATGAGGGTTTATAAGAGCCCTGGGCCCTCCAATACTTTTTTCCTCAGGCAAAACAAACAGCTGCTGTTCTTCAAACATACTAAAGCCACTTACATGCCTTCATCTTTGTTGTTCTCACTTTGTGGAATATTGGATTTTGAAATATTTATATGCTCAAATATATCCATATCAAATATTACTTTCTCCCTATCTTTTTTAAAATTGGAATTCCCAGTCTCTGTCACCTTGCCTTGAATTTTCTACTTCACAGCAATTAGCACTATCAAAATAGTACCTTTTTATTTGTCCATTTTCTGTCTTGTCACATTGGAGGGTTGGAACAAGACAGAAAGACCTTTGTTTTGTCCCCTATTTTATTCTCAGTGGCTAGGCAGAGCCTGTTACATAGTACTATTTGGTGAAAATCTATCAGCATCTATATTAAATGCTGTTACACTGAATTTTGAAACAGCTTTTGAAATATATGTCTCAGAGTTTTATGCGATTAAACATATTTAAGTCATCTTTTTTAATGGATGGATTATAAACTAAAACCCCATTAAACACTTACACTTTTGTCACTTTTCATGACAAACCGACACTATTAATTCTAGTTAAATCTTTGATCACTCTGCTAGTAAATCAATTCCAGGAAGTAAATTTATTCAGTTTATGAAAACAAAAATTGTTAGATTTTTGATACAAAGGATTGTTCCTCAAAAAAGATGTCTACACTGATTTAAGAAATAGTACCACTTAGTTTTCTTCTCATTAATGTAAATTAGTAGAGTGTATGAAAATAATTAAAACAAGGAGTCTGTCATAGTGGCACGTTCCTGCAACCTCAGTTACTGAGAGTGAAGGCTGAGGTTAAAAAAAATCACAGGTTTGAAGCCAATGCTGGCAATTTATTGAGATCTTGTCTCAGGACTAGGAATATATATCAGTGGTAGAGGCACAAGGCTATGAATTCCATCGCTAGCACTGCGAAAACAAAGAAAAAGACAGAAAGACTAGGGAAACAAATTAACATATTACTATTTGTTGGAGACATAAGGTAGGTAAGGGAAAAAATGAACCAACTAAATCTGAACAGTCCAACATAGAGATAAATTGGTACACTTATGCATAGAAAGACTTAAGAAATGTAAGCAATTTAGTTTTCTAAATTGTATTCATACTTATAGATATCTTTTCTCCCAAGTAAATGAAAAATTTACTAACTTAAGACATCAGTATCTTCTAGATCCTGAAGAATGAGTTCTTCAACATTTTTAGTTGTGTTCTTTATAGTGTTAATACAGTGAATAACTGACTCTAGTAATTCATCTTCACTCTAAAATTGAACAAAAAGGAAACCGTGAAAGGAATTATTATCAAAATGATAAGTAAAATGTAGCAACTTACTCCACAACAAAAATTTTAATTTTTTGTTTGTTTGTTTGTTTGTTTGTTTGGTTTCCTTTTTATCGAACTCATGACTGCCTGCTTGCAAGGCAGGTGCTTATGCCGCTGAGCTAAACCCACAGCCCCACAACAAAAATTTTAGTAAAATGTGTAAATGAGGTAAAATGTCCCTATACATAAAGAGTTTAGTTTAGAAAAACACATTTGGTTAAAATTTGTTTTTTAACTATCAGGTTCTTATGCCTGTCTAGAAAACCAAAAGTAATCAGAAAAGGCAAAGAATGTCACTACAAATTGGTTAAATAAATACTTTAACAGGAAAAGATAACAAATTGCAAACATAAATGCACCAAATACCAGAACATCTACTTTGATAAACAAACAAACAAAAAAAAATAGTTACTGGACATAAATGATCAGTAAACACCAACACAATGCTGCTTGTAGACCTCAAGAACCGAGTATTACAGATAGATCAACTAAAAAATAAATCAATGTAGAAATATCAGAGTTGAAACAAACTTTTGAACAAGTGCATTTAATAAATATTTATTCAGCAATAATAGAATATGCATTCTTCTCAGCAGCACATGGTCTTTCTCCAAAGCAGACCATATAATAACCCATAAAGCATGCTTTAAGTAGATGCAAAAATAAAACGAAATTATTCTAGGCATATTATCAGATCTTAGAACAATGAAAGCAGAAATTAACCGGCAAAGAAATCACAGAAATTATGCAAACACATGGAAACTAAACCATACCCTACTGAATAATCAATGGGTCATAGAAGATATCAAGGAAGAAACTAGAAAGTTCCTAGAATCAAAGGACAATCCCAGGACAACAGACCAGACCTTATGGGATCCAATGAAAGCTCTCCTAAGAGGGAAGTGCACAGCTGTGAATATTAACATCAGATAAACAGAGTAAGCCTAAATAAATAAAATAATTATGCACCTCAAAGCCTAGAAGAACAAAAGAAATTGAAATAAAAAGTTACTACATGGAAGAATATCATTAAATGATTAGAACAGGAATCAACAAAACTAAGACTAGAAAAAATAATACAAATATTGAATATATTGAAGAACTGATTCTTTAAAAGACTACACAAACTAGACAAATACTGAGCTAATCTTACTAGAAAAAGGAAAGGGATATCAATGCAATTAGAAATAAAAAAGGTAGAATAAGAATAGACACATCCAATACCCAGAAAACTATTGATAGCTACTTGGTCAAGCTTTATCCCAATAAACTGGAAAATCCAGAGGAAATGGGCAGAATTGTATATACATATGAATTACCAAGACTGAATCAAGGAGATGTAAATCTCTTAATAACAGACAATGAAAATAACAGGCAATAAAGTTGAAGCAGTAATACGATCTGATGAACTCACTGCTGAATTTTACAAGAACATTAGGGATGACCTAACGCCAATACTCCTTTAACTAATGAAATTGAAAGAGAAGGCATAATCCTAAAGTCTTTATTGTAAGCTATCATTACCCTAATTCCAAAATGAGAAAAAGACCTAACTAAATAAGAGAACTACAGACTAATCTCTTTAATAAACATAGACACAAAAAATCCTCAGCAAGATATTGACAAATAAATGCATCATCAAAAAATCTTACATCATAACTAACTACAATTCATCCCATGGATGCAGGTATGCTTCAATATATACAAATCAATAAGTCAAATATGTCACATAAACAGAAGCAAAGATAAAAATCATATGATCATTTCAATTGATGCAGAAAATACCTTTAAAAAAACTCCACAATTCATTCATGATAAAAACCATGAAGAAAATTGGTACACAAAACCATATCTTGGGCTGGGGATTTAGGTTAACAGAATAAGCACCTGCCTGGAAACGTTAAGGTCATGATTTCAATTCTGGTATCAAAAAAACAAAAACAAAAACAAAAATGCAAACAACAAAATAAAATCATATCTCAATCTCATAAAAGCCTTTTACACTAACCCAATTGCTAACATCATATGAAATGTGGAAAATCTGAAAGCTTTTTGTTTAAAATCAGACATAAGATTCACTATCACAACTGTTCAACACAGTTCTCAAAGCATTAGTCAGAGAAATTAAGCAAGAAAAAGAACTGAAAGGCATATAAAGGAAACAAGTCAAATTATCATTATTTTCAGATTACATGACTTCAAACTACACCTACAAGCTATAGTGATAAAAATAGTCTGGCCTTGGCAACAAAACAAAACAAAACAAAGCAAAACAACAATCCTCTGATTCAGTGGTACACAAACAGAGGATGCAGAAACAACTCCAGGCACATTCAGCTATTTAATCTTAGAACAAAGAGGTAAAAACATACAGTGGACAAAAGTATCTTTAATAAATGGTGTTAGGACAACTGGCCATCCACATGCAGAAGACTAAATGTAGACCTGTATCTCTCACTATGTACTAATCTAAAATCAAAATGGATCAAAGACCTATGTAAAACAGAAGCACAACCCACTGGAAGAAAAATAAGTAAAACATTTGAAGAAACAGGCTTAGGCAGGAATATTCTAAGCTGAACTCCAAATGTACAAAAAATAACATAAAAACTCAGCAAAGGAGGCTATCAAATTAAAAAGATTTCTTCACAGCAATGGAAACATCACGAGAGTGAAGATAGCCGAAAGAATGGAAAACATAGCTACCTTAAATAGCTACCTATTCCTTGGACAAAAGATTACCTAGAATATATAAAGAATGCAAGGAATTAGATACTATGAGATAAAAGCCACAGCCAAAAACGGGCAACTGAAATGAATACATTTTGCTCCATGAATACACCTTGCTTAATTTATAAATGGTCAATAAGTCACATGAAAAAATGTTCAACATCTCTGGCCATTAGATAGATAAATGCTAATTAATGCAACACTGAGATTCCACCTTACTCCAGAAAGAATGACTGTCAATAAGACATTAAATAATAACAAATCCTGGTGATGCTGTGTAAAAAAAGGAACTTGGCTGTATTTTTGGTGTGCTTTTAAACTAGTAGGACCATTATAGAAATCAACATGGAGACTCCCAAAAAAACTAAATCTAGAAATTCCATTTGACCCAGCTATTTCCCTTTGATATTTCTTCCCAAAAGAGTTAAAGGTTTCATGTTACAGTGACACATGCATATTCATATTCATAGCAGCACAATTCATAATAACTACACGGAAGCAGCCTCTATGTCCACCAAGACATGAATGGGTAAAGAAGATGCAGTATCTACACACAGTGGAGCACTATTCACCAAAAGGAAGATAAACTTGAGTCATCTGTAAGAAAATGGATGCACCTTGAGATCATAACGATAAGTGAAATAAATCAGATACACACTTACATAAGATGATTTCTCGTATATAAGAAGCCCAAATATAAGTAAAGAACAAACTAAACAATGAGAGGAGGCAGGAAGATAGATCTTTGGAAAGAGGGAAAGGGACTGAGATGGACAGAAGCAGAAGTAAGGGCGGGCGGAAGGGAAGAGGATGAGAGAAATTAATAGTCATGTGTATATGTACAGCTCCCCATATATATAGCAATAAAAGTAATTTTTTAAAAATTAAAAGACAGAAACTTACATTAAAAAGACTGCTAGTTTGCACAGACTTGTTCTATTATGGGAAATACAATCACTGTTCTCTGAATTTTTCAGTCTTACTTGTATATCTTTTCCTAGTAATATTCATTCTGAATTATATAAATAATGAGTTATCTGAAGTTAAAAGATGTTTAATTTTTTATTCTTCTGATTTTATATATAAACATAGAGCAAAATTAATTATTCTGATGGATATCATATTCAAATGAAGAATTTCAGTATTCTTTATCTCTTTGATATTAACTGGACAAAAACAAAATTATGTAAAAAATAAATTTGTCTAAAAGTCATAAAGAAGTTTAGTGTAATCTTAAGAAGCCAGGTAGAATTGTTTTAAAGACTTATTTTTCAGTGAGTCATTTTGAATAATTCTTAGTTAACAAAATTTCAAAATGGCAAAAATTAAAAAGCATTTGACTCATTTAACATTTAAAAATATAAAACAATTTGGAAAAATTAGAATAATGAAAAATAATAGTTTTTAGTAGGTCATACACATTAGACTAATGCAAATATATGCAAAAGACATGACAAACTAATTAAGAAGTAAAGGGATACTGGGAACATTAGCTAAGTACATCCAGGAACTATTCAAATTAAATCCATATTTTATAATATTCCTGGAAATAAATTTTGATTGGATTATGGGTTTTTTGGTAAATGAATGACTTCTTAATGAATGTTGTTTGTAAGCACATATTGGGAAAAATACACAACTGAAATATAATTTGTTTGATTCATAAAATAAGCTGTTTTTATAATCTGAATATTTCACACACATTTTTCTTTCATGTAATGTAATCCTCAACAAAATACTCAAAATGAAGTTTTATAAAATGCATGTACTTACATTTATGAGTAATTTATCAATATATTTCTTATATTTCAATGCTAATATGCATAATTTATACTAGTGACCCTAAGCTAGAGTCATTTGAGTTACATATAGAATGCCCTGAGACCATTCAAATTTCTCCTGAAAAGCCTACTTGTGTTACAAGGTTTAAAAGTATAACAGTTAACATTTACAATATCACTGTCATCGCTCTGGGTCTCTGACTTTGAATCACTCTCAGACTCTTCTTTTTCTAAGGAGGAAATGCTGATTTTATCTAACTCAGCTTCTATTTCTTCTTGAAGCTTTGCTTCTTCATCATCAGTGTCTTCCATCATTCTTCATAAAAAAATAGCCATCTAAAGAAACAAAGAATTTATTAGGTCATGTGTTCCTAAATACATGGGGTTTTAAATTTGTCACGCTAATCCAATATATTCCTTGGGAATATGGTTTAACACTTTTATCACACCTTTTTATCATTGCACCACATGTTTAACAGCTTTTTTTAAACCACTCTATTATCTTTTTAAAATATTTTACTAAAATATAATTAAATTTCACATTACTCTTTGATTTCTTCAAGAAAAAAATTACATGGCATACAGTGGTTTTTCTTTCAGATCCTAGAAGCTTCAAAGTAACACTATTCATGGAAAAAGTCACAACAAAATATTTTTGAATAGTTTGAATATTTAAAACTTTGAGTATTTAACAATAAATACTCAAAGAGCAACCGTGCTACATAGAAGAAGAGTACATGGTTTAACTTGATCATTAGCATGGAGTTCTGATAATCCTGCTAGAGATAACTGCTTGCTTTTGCTAACTTAACACATATGACCTAAATATTTAAATTGTTTAAAAAATTTAATAATTGTTTTTATAGTTAAATATTAATATTTAAATTTGTTTAACTCTTCAATTCTTGTAATAGGTCAAGCAGAATATTATTTCTCTACATCATCATCCTCATCACCACCATCAGTGTCTACGCACTGTCTGTGGCAAGGGAAATACTAGAAGATATTTAGATAATTGATCTTCCAGCAAAAACAATTAGCTAAATATCATTACGGCCATTGTACATGAAAAAACCAAGGTTGAAAGAACTTACTTCATGGTCTGATTTATTATGCTGAAATCTAACAAGAGCCAGCTCTTAATTTAAAACATGCTGAATCCAAAGTTAGTACTTTTCACCCTACTAAAACTCATAAGGATTCAAACTTCATGCTTCAAACTCATGCTTCATCTACCAAGCAATCTCTTGGCTCATCATCTAGCCCAGTAGCAGGTAAAGTACTTTACTAGTTCTTGATCACCAAGTTTTAATGACAAAATACAATAAAATAGAAAAAATTCATAAGAGGCTAGAAAATATAATTTCATCATCAGTATTAAAGATAAAATTGTTTCATTTTACTTGTTATAAGTATATATGGATGCATATGTGCATGAGTTGCAATGTAATATGTTTTTGAATTGTTAGTTTTTTTTAAACTTCATGTGTTGACTCAAAAAAGCTTGAGAAAGTACTGATCATTATTATTTTATTTTCCAAGACAGTCTTCTAAACTTTCATTCTTTCTTTCCATGTTTTCCTGATCTTTTCTTCTTTCATTCTTCTCTCCAATTTTCCTTCCTCGAATCCCTTCTGCTACTCATTCATTAAAAAATCGACATCTGAGAACATGCTATGCACATTCACAGCAGTGTCGCATGCTAGAAACACGCCACTAAATGAAAATCCTTAAGTTTTTAGCAAGTATGTAGTCAAGTTAACAAAGAAAAAAAAAACACTCTCAACTTCCCATTTCTTTTGCATAAAATCTTTTCCTGCCCCTCATACTGTGGGAGAGTCTCTCCTTCATAACAAGGAGCAATCTTCCACTTGTACTTCGTATCTTACTGATTCATGTTCATTATCTGTTCTGTTTCCTAACTTTACACATCTGTATTTCTCTAATCCTTCTCTCCTCATAAACAGTGAAACCTTTCCTTTACTAAAACCAAACTAAATGCCTACATTGCCTCTAACTGCAGACATGACAGCTTTCTTTCACATGGAAGGGATTTAATCAGACTAATTTTTATGTATCTCTTGAGCTCTAGTCTTATCCCAGAATAATGAAAACTAATGTTCACATGAGAAGTTGTACATGAACATTTAAAACACTTTATGCATATTAGCTCCAAACTGGAAACAATCAAAATGTCCCTCAAGAGGCCAATGATTCAAAAAACTCAAGCACATATATACCATAAAATATTACTCAGAAATAAAAGGAAATAACCACTGATATGTGCAACAATACAGATAAATTTCCACGTCTACACACAACTGCACTAGTTATAAAGAAAAACCCCAAAGGTAAGATTTATATGATTTCAGGTATATAACATTTTTGATTTGGAAAGATCTTGTCAATAGGGGGTAGATAAGTGATCAGGAAGGTGAGGGAGGAGTAGCAATAGGGAGGTGCTTCTGGTTACAAAAGGGCAATTCAAGAAAGCCAAGAGGTAAAGGAACAAATGTAGGTGATTAAAGCGTATAGAACACAGTACACATAAATAAGTACAAGTAAAACTGAGGAAATAGAATAATAATAATAGATTGTTTCAATGTCAATATTCTGGTTATACTACACTACAGTTTACAAATATTACCATTGGGAGACACTGCATAAAATGTAAAAGGATTTTTTAGTACTTCTTAAAACTTGTTGTAAATCTACAATTGCCTTATGAAAAATTTAATTTTACCCAAATTTAAAATGACCTTAAGTATACATTAGAAGTGTTTCATAAATTATCATGCATCTATATAATGCTTTGCAATATCTTTAAGGAATAGATACACTTACTGTACTTTGAGAAAAGGTGACCAAGAGAAAACCACTCACAAAATTTCATTGAGGTAATGACTCACTCTCTCTCTCTCTCTCTCTCTCTCTCTCTCTCTCTCTCTCACACACACACACACACAATTATTTTTAGACATAGAAATTTACTGTAAGAGATTCAATTTTCAACTCATATCTTCATTTAAGTGACTGTTTTGACTATAAATATATATTTAACAACCCTAAAAGCTCTTCTACAAATATTAAATTTTATCCACATCCTTTCAAAGCAAAGCAAAACAAAGGAAAGAAGAACGTAACAGCAAATAAATGAATCCTATAAATTAAAAATACAATTTAGGGGCTGGAGATTTAGCTCAGCGGCATAAGCGCCTGCCTTGCAAGCAGGCAGTCGTGAGTTCAATCCCTGGTACCAGTAAAAACGAAAAAAGACCAAAAAAAAAAAAATACAATTTAGATGGAAAGTTAGATTTTTAAACTATAAAGGAGAGGGTACATGTACATAAAACTTCGTGGAGAAAGGGGCAAGACAGCACAAAGAAGGTAACGATCTTTTCTTTGTATTCTCCCCTCTGCTCACCTCCTGGCTCTTTACACCAATCCCACAAGTTTCTGTACTTGAACAAAAATGCAAGTTTAAATTTTCTAGTAGTAAATGTTCACAATGAAAAGCAGACTAAATCAATTTTAATATAGATTATTTAACCCAATATAACAAAAATGTTATTTCAACATATAATCGATATAAAATTATTACTCTTATTTTGTAATGCGAATAACAAACGCAAGGTCGAGCGCTCATTAGGTGACTGTTCTACTATCAAGCTACATCCAAGAGCTTCGTAATTAATTATTGAGAGATGCAAATAAAAATTTTACATTCTTGTTTTGCATACTAATTCTTGACAGCTGGTGTGTTTTTTACGCCTACAGCGCATCTCAGTTTGAATTAGCTGTGTTTCGACCTGCAAATAATCCTTATAGGAAAGACAGCGCCTCCGTAGATGGAACCCACTATCAAAAGGCTGGAGGGAACTAATTCAAATTAACGAATCACGTGAGGTCCGCCAATGCTGAAAAAAGGCGGAGAGCTTAAGGAACGCTAGTTTTCAATTCCCATAAAGAAAAGGGAGAAGAAAAGGGAGAATTGATAAAATAGCATGAAAATAAGTTACACGAAAAGAGATAGCAAGGAAAAGACAAAGGAGAGTAAAACAGCTGTTGGTTGGCATACTGGGGCGGTGGGCCGGGGGCGAAGCGGATAGCTATGCGCGGCCACCTAGAGCAAAGGGATGGACCGTGAAGTTTAAGGGAGCTGCAGAAATGTCCAAAGTTAAGGGGGCCGGAGTTTGGCAGAGTCTCGCAGCCACCCCAGGGCCCGCCTCTGTCCCTTTTTGGGAAGCCTGGCTCCAGCGGAGAGGGGTCCAGTTCCCTGACCCTCGCAAAGCGCTACCTCTCGGTCCCAACGCGATTCCCGGTTTCTAAGGGCTCTTGCTCACGCACCAGCAGCAAAATCTGCTGCTTGCTTGCCGGACAGCCATAGTCCATAAACAAATGGTAACCATGGCAACAGCCAATTCCAAAGCAGCTGAGCTGCCTTTCATTACAGGTGCCCCAGAAGGACAAATAAGTTTGATTCTAAATCGGAAAGAAAATTGCTTTTCAGAAATTGGATGAGCAGTTTTCTTTTCACGTTTAAATTTAAATAATTTTAGAAAATAGTTAATGAGGAAGTGATATTTTTGTTGTAATTATTCAAATAGATGTTATCAGACCTTTAATTTGTTTCTGAGGTGTCTAAATTTATATTAGTGTCCAGTAAATACTCAGTTGCCTGTATATGATTTTTTGTTCCATAAAATCTAATCTTGAAAGTGATTTGTGGGACTTGGAATTACAAAGGAGAAGCCAATAAATCTTTTGCCATCCATGAGAACAGTTCGTTTATAAAAAGAAAAAAATCAATTGTCATCATCACTGCCCATCAGAGACTTCTAAAAGGATATATGGGGTGAAAATTCTAAAACCTTATTTTGTGGAATTCCTTTATTGCAGAATATTGATCAAAACCCACTATTTTAATGAAAATCTGACGTTCTAAACACACATCATTTTGTTTAATTTTAATTTAAACATTGATCAAGATTTCTTTTGTGAAGATAGCATACAAGAGCTTATAAACCATGAAACTTTATTTTAACATATAATATTCTGTTTTAATATTTTTAAAGCTTGCAAATAAGGTGTTAAATTTCAGAAGGAAGTGGTTAAACATTATTGTAAAACACACCTGCTAAACAGTATACTAAAAGCAAACATTTCATTTATCCTCTGAAAGAAGTTAAATTGTATTTCTTGGTAACAACTGCACCAATATAAAAACAAACAAAATATGATGAGAAATTAGCAGACATTTGATATTAAAAACTGCTTTCTAGAGAGACAATAACTTTGTAAAAATAAACAATACCTGGCTTAAAATTTAAATAAGATAGTTTCACTATAAAAGCACATCTCCAACAGTCATTAATTAGTTTAGTTTTATTGCTGATGTTTAAAGGTTTCATTTAAATTGGTTAAGCTACCATAACATGTAATATTCTTTTTTTTTTTTTTTTTTTAATGAGACAGAATCTTACTACATAGTTCAGGCTGACCTTGAAATCACTAAGTAGCCCAGCCTGGCCTCAAACTCCTAGCAATCCTCCTGCTTCAACTCCCCAAGTACTAGGATGGCAGACTTATGCCACCACAATGAGCTTCACATGTAATATCCTAAGATTAATTTCATTTGTGATTATCAAACTATTACGATTTTCCTAAAGTGTGTTGAACCCTTTAATAATCAGTTTTAAATAACCAATTTTTTCAGACTAATTTTAGAACTCAACTAATTTAAAACATAATATCTAAATTAACTTTGTGAGAGTAAAAATGTATAGAAAGTCTTCTGAAGATGAGTAATCCATTTGGCAGGGGCTTTCTAATTTCAATTTTTTCCAATTTTTACTTTGAAAGATAACTGACAATTCTAGCATAAATGAACTAGAATTTTACTCATAAAAAGGAATAGAATGCAGCAATTATGTATTATAGCTATAGTAAATTTAACCCTAAACTATCGTTTTTCAACTAGTGTTTACCAAATGTATGGTTGATTACAATCTTTGTAGAAATTAAAGCATCAGCTTAAGTATGTGAATTTGCCTATTACCTTTCAGCCTGAGTAGGTGTTTATTTTCTTTCTTTCTTTTTTGTCTTTTTCTTTTCTTTCTTTCTTTTTTTTTTTAATCGGTACCAGGGATCGAACTCACGACCACATGCTTGCGAGGCAGTCGTTTATGCCGCTGAGCTAAATCCCTAGCCCTGGTGTTTATTTTTTTTTTTTATATTTTGTAAATCATTTCCAAGCCTGGTTGATACACAGCCTAATGATCTAATACAACATACTTCCTTTTGAGAACGAATAAAAAATATTTATTGAGAGAATGTAAGGATGAAAGAAAATATATCTGACAAGGACAGTAGTTCTTTGAAAATTTTAATTGAATGTGGAATCATTTTAGTTTAAAACCATGCTCCACAGTGACTTTCTCTTCTCATGGCAGTGATATAATTTAAATACTCTGGAATGTCACCGTAGTGCTCAAGCAGCCTGACAGCAGATGCATATTCTCTACTTCACTTTCTTGAGGAAAGGTGGTTGTTGAATAACAACACTTTTTAACTTGTGGCTAATAGAGTTGAATGCCGAAAGCTGTTGTCTTCTCCAGTTAAAAACCATTCCAAACTCCTATAGCTTTTTTCTAATCTCTTTGTGCTTCCTGCTCACAGTTGATGTGCTCAGACACTCAAGAAGACAGCCTAGTCTTTCCTGCTGTCCCCACACCACTTTCTACCTCCACACACACCTCTATTGTGCATTCCTGGTTTTGTTATATGATCTGATCCATAGCTAATATCTAGCCAGACACCAGACTAAGTACTTTACAAACATAACCTCATTTAATTTTAGGAAAGTTACTCTGAGGGATGTCCTATTGCAACCCATTATTACAGATGATAACACTAAGGCTCAGAAAGATTTTTCAAGAGAGTAATTTATGTCTCTTGGTTTTTATCTCAGTTCTTCCGTATATTGACAAGGTAATCTCCAACAAGTTTTTTTTTTTACTTTATTTTTAACCAGTACACATTTTTCATACATATTTATCACATTCATCATAGGGCATAGATAATATATCTGTACCCATAGATAATATATCTTAATTATTTTCCGATTTAACTTGCTTCCCTTCCATTTATAAAAGCTGTTTCATCCTTTTCCGTCCATTCTCTTTTTATGCTTTTACTGTCCTTTTCTTTTCCCTCCCCCTCCCCTGTTCCACTTGCCATTTGAACATGTTCCTCCTACTTTCCAGCATCTATCCTCCGTTGTTGTCTTTATTTACTTTTTGACTTTCTTACACAAGAGAAATACTGCAATATTCAAACTGCTGTGTCTGATTTATTTCACTTGAGATTATGGCATCAATTTCCCTACAAATGTTTCAAATTTAACCATCTCTATGACAGTGTAGTTCTCCAAGGTGTATAAAAAGCCATACTTCTTTATACATTCATTGGTCAATGGATATTTAGGTTGCTTCCAAGATTTAGCTATTAGAAACTGTTCCTATGTAAACATCGGTTTTCACATATCTCTGTGGTATGCTGCTTATAATTCTTCTGGGAAAATACCCATAAAGGTAGACTGGGACCTGTGATCCTAATATTTGAGGAATCTCCACACTGATTTCCACAGTGGTTGCACCAGTTTACACGCCCACCAACAGTGGAAAAGTATTCCTTTTCCCCCAAAACCCTTCTAGCATTTGTTATTAATTGTATTCTTGATAATAGCCATTTTTTTTCTGGAGTAAGATGAAATCTCAGTGTTGTTTTAATTTGCCTTTCTCAAATGACCAGTGATATTGAACATTTTTTGTACATTTATTTGATTCTTGTACATCTCTATCTGAGAATTGTCTTTTTACTGCCCATATTTGGGTCTTGAACTCATTTTGTAATCCAGGCCACGCTCAAATTCCCATAAATCCTCCTACCTCTGCCTCCTGAGTGCTGGGTTTATAGACATGCAGCACTATGTCTGGCTGATGTCTTTTATTGTGCAAAAACCTTTAATTTGATGTGGTTTGTTGTTCTTTGAATTTCTGTGTGATTTGTTTTTGTTTATAAAGCCTTTGCCTAAAACTGTATCTTTTAGAGTTTCACCCATTCTATTTTTAGATAAGCTTGCTTTCCTGAGACGCTTTCCTTATTCCCAAGCTAGGAAATGATAGCAAAATAATGCTTATTTTTCAAATTTTGATAATCACTGGAAACAATAAAAATGGCACTTGTGGGATATGGAATAATATTAAGTGGTTAATTGCTTTATGTACTTGAGTTCAAATTCCATCTTTGGCTCTTTCTAACGTGCCAGTGTTGGTTTTTTAATTTTATTAGGTGTATCTCTCATATGCTGGATTTATTCTCCATGACCAGAGCCAGTTGCACTTTAGACCACATTTGCTTCTTATGAGATAACACATAATAAATATTGAAAATTATTCCCTGTCTCAGATTCCCTCTCTAATTTTGCCATGATTATGGCTCCATTGGACTTCAAAAATAAGAAAAAGCAAAATTCAACCAAGGCCTCCTGTATGATCCATCATTTTTTACTTATTCTACTGGTCTATTTTTCTAGCATTTTTGCCACTCTGATCCATTCTCTCTTAAACCTTCCTGAAAAGCCAAGAGACATTGTATTTTACCCGTTTTGAATATTTCTTACTCCTATCCCAGTTTTGAATAGTCCCATCTTAATCACCCTTCAGAGATTCTCTCTAATTCATCTCCTCCATAACATTTCTCTGCTTCTTTGTTCTCCCCACCTCATGCAAGCACGTAAGTAAAATTTGATAACAGGTTTTAATATTTAATTCCTTGATGCTCTCTGACCTGTTGATTTGTGTGCTTCCTTTCCTTGTACTTAAAAGAAACATAAGAACACTCAGCACAAGCCACTATAGTGAAACCTGTGAACAAGCGAGTTATTACAAGGTGTTCATCTCTACAGCATTGATAACATTTAATCATTGTTATTCTATTCTTAAGTAATAGGCACTGGGGAAAAAGTGGTCACACCTGGGCTTTATTTGATTGAGTTTAGAATGAAATATTTGTTCATGGAAAAGGGAAATATAGATCTTCCTCATTGTAAATACATAAATGAGAACGGCAAAATCTTCTTCTGCACATCTAGATTAACACATCTTTATTTCCGCTGACACTTTTTCCAGCATGTAGGGCTTACAGTTGAAAAACCAGTGAGAGACCACTGCTTACATCATAGGTAGGCATCACCACAGATTTCCTTGGCTCATTGTTTAGGTTCACAGTTGATGGGATCTAACACTTTCACTTGAATTGATTTTTTGTAATTATCAAGAATGTCCTTTGGACAGAGTTGACTGCTCTTGAGAGTACTGAATTCTCATCTTT